TTTTCAAGATCCTAACTTACTTGCCTTGGCTTTATTAGTGCCCGGATTACAGGTGTATACCACCACGCCTGGCTACAACCTTCTGCCTAGCCCAAGGTGATTCAGTAGCCATTTGTAACTTCAATCCACATTCATATTTTTAATTCCTACTCTCTATACCTCATCCTCCTTCCAAAGCCAATAGACAGAACAGAACATTTACAACAGATACTGTGTGTGGCGTTCCATTACAGGTTTTTTTTTTCCTATTTATAGGTGAATACAGGTGTATCTTCACTGAGTTGTGAACAGAATTATATCACCCATAGCAGTTTAATATTGTCCTTCTACATTATACTTTGAATAAATATTCTTGCTCTATAATTAACTTCGAATCGAGCATAATGAACTCTTCTGTGTTCACTGTTTTTCAGTAAAATAGCTGGTTCTTCTGTATCATGCATCTCTCCACATCTTTGCATTGAGATTTATGTGCAATTAATTAACAGCATTTATATTTATATTGCTTTATAGCAGCAATATAGCAGTCCCCAGAGTCATGGAGCCATCTGGAGTGGGGACAGGAGTTTCAGGACTGTCTCCCAGAGCATCAGTGTTACTGACAGTAACAGAATGTTGTCTGGAGCTGGTGTAATGGCATTCCTTCCTACAATTAGATAGCCAATGTACTTCCCATTGTCCCCAAGCGGTGAAGCTCCTGCAATGGAGGTGTGCTGGTTTGTCCCCAGGGGTGAAGCTCCTGCAATGGAGGTGTGCTGGTTTGTCCCCAGCGGTGAAGCTCCTGCAATGGAGGTGTGTTGGTTTGAAAGAGAACACCTTCCAAGGGCTCCTGTGTTTGAACACTTGGACCCCAGCTGGTGGTGCTGTTTGGGGGCGGGTTTAAGAAGTGTGACTTTGGTGAAGGACTGTGTCACTGGAGGCAGGCTTTGGGAGTGGCTTTCACTATTTCTAGTTTGCTCTCCCGGCTTCATGCTAGCAGTTCCAGATGTGAGCCTTCAGCGCCCTATTCCAGCTGTCATGCTGGTCCACGCTGACAAACCAGCTCTAAATGAAAATCAGCCATTTCTTGTGCAAACTGCCTTGGTCATGGTGTCTGTCACAACAAGAAAGGTAACTAGACCTTCAGTCACCATTCTTCTCCCCGCCCATCTCAGATATTCCACACAAGGGCACAACATCCAACACACACACACCACACACCTCCACACTACACACACCACACACACAAACACCCACCCCCCCAGACACCCCCTCCCACACTCCCCCCCCCACCCCCACATACATACACACCCACACCACACACAGACACCACACCATGGTGCCGGAGAATTGTCTGTAATCTGTCAATCATATTTTAAATAAACGCTGATTGGCCAGGCAGGAAGTATAGGTGGGAAAACCAGACAGGAAGTAGAAATGATGCAATGAGAACAGGAGAATTCTGGGAAGGAGGAAGTTGATTTCTCCCACTCCTGCCCAGACTCCAAAGAAGCAGGATGTGACCTGCCAGCTGAAAAAGGTACTGAGCCACATAGCTAAAATAGATCAGAATAATGGGTTAATATAAGTCATAAGAGCTAATAATGGGCCAATCAGCTTTATAACTTACAAAGATCTCTGTGTGATTTTCTTTGGGACTTGCTGGCTGTGGGGAACTGGGCAGGACAGAAAACCCCAACAAACAGGCCCCCATTCATGTTACAACACCACACACACTCACACACATGCACACACACACCCACACTCTGACCAAGTATCTCTGCTGTGTCTTTCTGGAGATTGCCACACTTGTTGAAGAATCATACCTGTATGCCAACAGTCAGTCTCACACAGTCCTAAAAGGTCTTTCGGGGAAACATCAGCATGATATAGATATAAAGATTCAATCAAGATAAATCCCCAAATAACTTCACATAGATCTGGGTGACAAAGCCAAGTTAAGACTAAAATGAGAACATGTTCTCACAGACAAACACCCGGAGACCCTCCAGCCTCCAGAAATAAGAGTGATTTTCTAAATCACAATTGTCCTCATCATTGCTGCACATGGTTTCCATGTAACATTTAAGGTCCAATGCATCTCAACTAAGTTGTCACATCTAATGACACATTTAATGACATCTTATTTAAAACTATATGTATCTTTAGAAACATTAGGGAATATGTCACATATATACATACATATGCATCCCATACAATTTCACTTAGGGGAAGAATACACCAGTTTTAAAAATTTTACATCAATATTTCACTCCTTTTGTTCACGGTACACCCTGAGAGGTCTACACTAGGGAAGGAAAAGTATATAGTCTTCAGAAAAAAAACATTGGGTAGACGTACTTGGAACATTGTCTTTGCCCTACTTACACCCACAGGAATGAGGAACGAAGGGGGGTGACTGCGGTTGGCATTCCACCCACCAAGACAATGAGAACTGCTGATGTCAGCCACAATCGCCTACAGTAGTTTTTGTGGGTTAGGGGATTCTGGCGTGTCCCCATTGTGAATCTCTCATCTATATGTGTTTCATGTGCTCTTTCTTTGGCTGTTCTTGTGCTCATTTGTTCTCCTATTCAGGCTTGTTTTATATATTTTTTTCATTTTTAAAGATACCTGTTTGTCTTCTACCAGAGAGAGCAGGAAAAGATTTATGAGTGGAATGGAGTTTTATTAAAGGTGGATATTTTTAGTGCATTTTGGCTTTGGAATGAAATTTCTCCCATACACTTGAACTCAAATGTGGACTTGGTTTTGGAGGTGTTAGTTGAATTAAGTCATTAGGGTCATGCTTTGGGAGATGTAATACTGTATACGGTCTCTTCCTTGGTGCATTCCCTGTCATTACCACAACCACCTGTCACCAAATGTTCTTCACACTGGTCTTTGGCAGAGTGGCCATTAACAAAATCCTTTGAAGCCACAACCCAAAACAACTACTTCAATCCTTAATTTTTTTCTGCTGAGACTTAGTCACAGTGACAGAAAGACAATGAGTAGTGTAAATCACAATATCTATCTACCTATCTATCTATCTATCTATCTATCATCTATCTATCATCTATCTATCATCTATCATCTATCTATCCATCCATCCATCTACCTATCATGTATCATCAATCAATCTATCATCTATCTACCTATCATCTATCTGCTATCAATCAATCTATTATCTATCATCCATCCATCTATCTATCTATCTATCTATCTATCTATCTATCCATTCATCTATCCAATGTATAATGAAGATTCCCATCAAGACTACATACATACAAAGGCATGTATCCTACCACTTCCATTTTCTTTCACTATTATTTCTTATACAAAGTATATGTATTTCCTATACCATCATGCTGAGTATTCTACAGGCAAAGCATTAACCCAAAATACTAACATACAGAAAAAATTTCTGTTGTGAGGAGTAATTGTGTACTGCTAAATCTTTATCAGCATTGTTGGTCTTTGCCTGCTACATTCATTAACCACTACCAAACTCTAGTTATGAGAACATATAAATGCCCAAACAAAAAGCTTAATAGACACTGGCTGGAAATACCATTGCGTTTATTTGGTAGTATACAGTTGAATGCTTAATTTCCAATACCATTTCAAACAATTCCATCTGGAAATTAACATGCAAGTTACATAAACTGAAATTTTCTTCCCCAAATTTATGATGTATAAAAATGTTGAAATTTTACTGAAAAAAATTCACATATTAAAGAAATATATGGTTGCATGGAAGCCCATTCCTCTAATCCAAGCTCTCAAGGGCACAAAGCAGTATTACCATGACTATGAGAATGGCTCAGGCTGAAAACGGTGCTCAAAATGACGTATGATGGATTTGTTACAACCTCTTCACAACTGCTTACACTCTGTAACAACTGTTTGATGAGCACGAATGCTGAGAATCTGGGTGACATGTGAGAAGCTTCAGATACAAACGGAGAGCACACGCATGTGCTTCCCAAGGGCACTGTGACTGAGCCCCATCCCAGTTCTACTAATTTAAAAGTGCAGACATGTTCCTATTCTCACAACCAGTGCCATGCTTGCTACCGTGTGAGCACAGCCCCTAGCGTCTGTGGTAATGGGGTTTCTAGAGTGCGTGTATGCTGATGAATACTGAGAATACTATACTGATGCAAGGCCAGGAGAAATGGGGCACCTACACGCCTGGAAACACTCTGATGCTTTATCATCCTTTTGTTGTGTTCTGATGTCAGTTGAGTTCCAAGTATTAAGGTTTCTGACATCCTTTACTTTCTTACGGTTTAACAACAACGCGGCATCTACTGACACTCAAGATTTTCTCACGTTTGTGGCCGGCTTTCACTGTATAGCCCTAGTTGGCCCAGAACACGCTATGTTGGCCAGGTTAGCCTCAAAGTCAGCGGTCCACATGACACTGCCTCCTGAGTGCTAGGATTAAAGATGTGCACCACACACCTGGCTTTCCCCATCTTTTGGTCTGGTGTCTTGCTATGCTGGTATATATCAAGTCCCTATGTGTCTCTGCCAAGATCACCCACATGGGTCAGGATAAACACCCATATCTGCCTAAATCACTTGCTGTGCACAACTTCATCTTTATGAGGTTTCTGATGTAGACTGAGGTCTGACTTAGGTATCGAAGTTTTCTGTGATAGACATATTGATAAAGTCTACCTGAATGAGCTTTTCTGCCCACTGAATGCACTTTATGGTTTAAAAATGTGTTCTAGGGTTTTTTATATTCAAAGAGCCGTTCGCCTGTGAATGCTACATGATGACCACACAAAATCTGCTCGCACTCCCTAAATGTATTGGTCTGTACATGGAGATGAGCTACAGCAGACAGCTTTCTTACTTTATTTTCATGGGTATTTTTGCATCTGTATGAATTCTGATATAGAGGGCTAATTTTATGGCAATAGTTTTATATGTGTCCTCTGATGCCACCTCAAGACCGACTGGCTGTGCCGGGCTTTACTGCACCCTCTGTACTCAGGGTTTGTCACCTGCATGCGTTTTCAGATGCCGAGTGAGGTCTGACTTGGTGTAGAAAGCCTTCTTGCACTCTAGACACACATACGGTTTCTCACCTGTATGTGTTCTCTGATGTCGCGTGAGTTCATACTTGCACTGGAAGGCTTTCCCACAGTCTTTACATTCATACGGCTTCTCACCCGTGTGGTATCTCTGATGGACAGTGAGCTGGGAATTGCAGTAGAAGGCTTTCCTGCATTCTTTACATGCGTAGGGCTTCTCGCCTGTGTGCGTCCTCTGATGGACGGTCAGGTCGGACTTGCGATAGAAGGCTTTCCTACACTCATTACACTCGTACGGCCTCTCGCCAGTGTGCGTCCTCCAGTGTCGAGTGAGGTCCGACCTGCACTGGAAGGCCTTCCTGCATTCTTTACATTCGTAGGGTTTCTCGCCAGTGTGCGTCCTGTGATGGACAGCGAGCTGTGACTTGCAGTAGAAGGCTTTCGTACATACGTGACATTCGTAGGGCTTCTCACCGGTGTGCGTCCTGTGATGGACAGTGAGCTGGGAATTGCAGTAGAAGGCTTTATTGCAGACTTTGCATGCATAGGGCTTCTCGCCCGTGTGTGTCCTCTGGTGGACGGTGAGGTCGGAGTTGCGGTAGAAGGCTTTTCTACAGTCTTTACATTCGTAGGGCTTCTCCCCTGTGTGAATTCTCAGGTGGACGTTGAGCTGTGACTTGCTATAGAAAGCTTTACTGCAGTCTTTACATTCATAGGGCTTCTCGCCCGTGTGCGTCCTCTGGTGGACGGTCAGGTGGGACTTGCAGTAGAATGTTTTCCCACATTCCATGCATGCATGGGGCTTCTCACCCCTCCCGAGCCTCTGGCACTGCCTGAAGGCAGACTTAGGATAGAAAGCTTGTCTGCACGCCTTACATTCGTACGGATTCTCACACGTGTGATACCTCTGATCTCTGCTACAGTCTGACTTCAGGTACAACGCTTCCAAACACACTTCACATTCATAGGGCTTTGATCCTTGGTGGATTTCCTCGTGTATCTTTAGTTCTGCCTGAAGACAGAAGGGTTTGTTAAATTCCTCGTATTCACAGGGAGAGTCCTATAGAATTTATTTTGTTTTGCTTATCATGATTACTTAATGACACTTCTCACAACCACACATTGAAATAATTTCTCTCTGCTGTCTATTTTACTTCATTTACTGGATGAATTTAGTCAAAGAATGCTGTCTCAGATACATCCTATTAGAATTTTGCATCCTAGTCCGTGCCATGACTTGAATAGGTCACGCCTTATCACAGGATTTCCTAGGGGTGAAGACTCCTCTACAAACGAAAACTTTTGTGTTACCGACCCTGCCTTTGTAGGTTTATCTTTAATCAAAATGGCATGATTGACTGTGTGTTACCCAGAAGCGCAAGGTAACTGGAGGGTTTCAATTACTGTAAAATGTCAGATTCTTTTGTAGCCCACATCTCACCAGGTTCACTACTGAGACGTTCATCCTGCCATAGATTAAGTTCCCATGGAAACATTCCTAAAGCAGTTTCTATTTTTCATGATCAAAGTTGGAATATGGTTTTGAGGGATGTGGCGTTAGGTCCCTGGTGGGTGGCCAGATAGGAAGAGGGGCCATAACTAGGTAATAAAGAAGATGGACTTCCATGATAGCAGCTTCTTCCTCACTTTCCTGACCTGAGATAAAAGCCTGGCAGCTTAAAAGAAAGGCCTGGTGGGCTTCTGCTGCCGCCAGGAGGGCACCGTGGCGATGGGTCTCCAATCAGTGCGAGGGTGGGTCAGTACAAGTTCCCACCAAAGTGAAGGGCCTGTTAGCCACTCTCTTTTTGTTCAGATGGACCAACCCTAAAGTAGGGGTGAAGACCCCTCGAGCACTCAAATACCCTTGAAACCCTCACGTCCTTAATAAGAAACTGGGTTTCAGACTCCTGGGGCCCTTGGCTCTGTAGAGGTCTTTCTCTGTGTGCCTCGTGTGTTTTCTTTCTCCAGGATGATCTGCCTGCTCCATCTGATAGTTCCCTTGAGGCTGGCTGTGGCACCTACAATACTGCCGGCCTTTCCTGTTTTTGCCTTTCTATTCTTCAGCTGGCAGAGAAAATGAAGTCAGTCAGGACACAGTTTGGGCTGACAGCAGCTTTACCTACTTCAATGAGTTCTTCGTTTGAAGCATTTCTGTCGATTTCAATTCGCCAGAAATGTCTGTCTCCATTTTTCTGGCTGGTCTTGACCAGGCTACTCATTTTGTTGACACCTGAAAATAGGAAAAATTTCAACTACTATGAATTGGGCACAGCTTTATGTAATTCAAATACAAGATCCGATCTCCTGCCTCTGCCTCCCAAGTGTTAGAGAGTAAAGAGTAAAGGCATACGCCACTATTGCCTAATATGCATTTGAACTTTTACAATATCATCGTATAATTGTACACCTCCTAGTCTTTAACGAATTAGAATAAAACAATACCCTGAGAAATACTGCAGTGTTAAGTCCTGGCTCTCTGGTGCATTGCTGCTCTGTTGAAATACATGGCAATAAACACCCAACCCGTTTCTCAGCTTAGGTGTCTTTATAGCGATGTTCCCTCTTGTTATTCTACCTGTCCTGTTTCTCTGGTTTCTAAATGTATCCTGCCATGCTCCTTCATCTGTGAAACAGGAAACCCTCCTCTACTAGCTACCTTTAGGATGGAGGTTATAAACATTCTCTCTCCCTAGTATACCACGTTAGGGTGAAGATTGCTACTTTGTTTCAGACAGTATACTTTGCTTTGATAAAGAACAGCAGGATCTTCCATGGGGTTTTGTGGGAATGATTGTTTTTATGAGAAATGTTGCTTGTGGCTTGCCTTTACAAAAAGAATGTTGTTACTTTGCTTTAAGTATCTTCTGTAATAGTGACTTAGTATTCATGGAGTGATTCCATTTATGCTTATCACAGAAATTCATAACATTATCTGATTTTAGACTTTGCTTCATGGAATAATCTTGATTGGCAGTTTATATTTTCAGGGTTTAAAACACCAAAGACTATACTTTTTGGAATTCAGAGTTTCTGTTAATCAATCAGCTATGATAGTAGACTTATATTCAAAAGGAACTACTGGGTGTGGTGGCACACGTGTTTAATGCCAGCATTCTGGAGATCTCTGCGAGTTCAAGGCCAGCCAGATCTATATAATGTTCCAGACCAGCCAGAGCTACATAGTGAGATCCTGTCTCAAAACCAAACCAAACACAAACAAACTAATCACACATTTTGCGTATACTTTTCAATACTCTGCCCATATTCTGTCCTCTGGGCGTCTTAACTGTAACAACCTCTGAGGAAGTATTCTCAGAGTCTAGCAACTTGTAGTTGTAAATGCCGTATATGTGGACACCTGTCTCTTGGCCAAGGTTTGTACAATATTATACACTAATTTCATGCAGTATTTTTTGTGTTGACCTTATTCTCAATTCACTGTTTAATAAAAGATTCACAGATTAGATACCTCATAAAACTCCCCAAGAGCTCTTCTGTCTAGAAGTGCTGACAATCATCCTGTCTTCTTCTACTTATTACTATGTAATTGTTACACTTGCTCAATGTTGTCCTTAAACACATCATTGGGATTATTTCTTCCCCACTGTGTACTTTCCAAAGAGTGTTTTTTGTTTCTGTTTTTAATTTAGCTTTTCTCTTCCAAGATCTGAGATTGTATCTTTTTTCAGAATCACTCTGCTGAATTTATTTATTTATTTATTTATTTATTTATTTATTTATTGATTTTTTCGAGACAGGGTTTCTCTGTAGCTTTTTGGTTCCTGTCCTGGAACTAGCTCTTGTAGACCAGGCTGGCCTCGAACTCACAGAGATCTGCCTGCCTCTGCCTCCCGAGTGCTGGGATTAAAGGCGTGCGCCACCACCGCCCGTCTGCTGAATTTCTTATCCAAGAAGCCAAATTTTCCATACAAGAGTTAAAATGACCTTGTACATGCAGGCTCATATAGTGCACACGCAGTGTGTTTGTGTGTATGAACATGTGCACACACACGGGGAACTCAGAGGGTGAACCTCTGGTATTGCTTCCTTGTTTGAGACAATATCTCTCACTGGGACCTGAGGCTCAGCAATTTATGAGACTGGCTGGCCATCAAGCCTGGGGATCTGCCTGTCTCCAACTCCGAAGCACCAAGTTTACAACCAGGGGCCCCCAAACCATGTCTTAATTTTTGTAGTTGTGTACAGAAATTCAGGTCTGCAGCCTTTGAAGGCAAGCACTTTACTGACCGAGCTCGCTGGCACTCTCTCTCCTCCTCCTCCTCCTCCTTCTCTCTCTCTCTCTCTCCCTCCCTCCCTCCCTCCCTCCCTCCCTCCCTCCCTTCTTCTGATGTCCTCTGTGCACAGTGACAGAAGCACAGACAAACTGGACTCTTGTTTGGCTGGTAGTTTCTAATCACGTTCCCTAGCTAGTCTTAAATTTAAACCCACATGAGTACTTCATGGCAAATGTGGAAAATAGTCATCGCACAGTAAAACTGAAATAAACGAAAAGTTCTTTACTATTTCCCCCTCTAAAGCCTCTTGTTCTCCCTCCGCGCCTGAGAAACGTTCTCTGTGCTGCCTACCTCACCAGAACACATGTCCCTTGCTCTGCTTTTTTCACACTATATGGAAGTATTTTAAGAGGAGAAGCATTTGTGTGTGATTAGGGATCATGAGAATTGCAAAGACAAGCACTTGTCAACAAGCTGGTATTGAAATAATGTCAATAAATGCCTAACTTAAAACATGCGGTGGCAAAGGGAAGGGAACACACACAATTGAAGACCCAGGTAAGGCAGCTGGATGGTTCTGAAGAGCAGAACAACAAAAAAAGCGATTCCTCAACATCAAGAAACTGGTAGTTTAACACAGAATGTTGGGAAAACGGATAGAACAGGTGTCTGGTCCAGGAGGCGAGCTGTCCTCAGGACTGGGTTTAGATGGACCTTGTTGAAAACGGCCTGAGATGAACAGAATGGCGGCCTCTGTGTCCCGCCCTCTCTCGCCTTGTTCATTCACTGACCTGAGAGGCTCCAGACTGAGGCATCTGTCGTGCTCCATGGCCCAAGTCCATGCTCTAAGTTCAAGATCAACTCAGGTTTGGTCATGCAGTGCCCTGTGAGTGAGAAACAATACAGGGTTGTGACAAAGTGCTAATCAAGGCCACTAATGGGAGGCGATTAGAAAGTCTTCCTTCCTTCCTTTTTATTTATTTATTTTTGGGTGGACCAGAGACTAAACCTGTGGCCTAACACTAGGTAGGAAAGTCACTGTCAACCGAGCTACAGCCCTAGCTCTCAGTGATTTACACATTTTTATTAAAGTGGGTTTTCACTCACACTCTCCACTGATGGAAGTGTTGTCCCCAAGTGGCACTTAAGGATTTTAAGAAATCTTCCAGGGGAGATGGATGGTGGAACAGTGGGTAAAGCCCCTGTAATGGAAGTAAGAAGACCCTAGTTCAGTCCCCAGCAGTCATGTAAAAGCGCTGACTTACGGAAACTCAATAGACAATTTGTCTGCTATAAAGGATAAATTAAAAAAGAAAAGTAGTCATAAAGAAAGAACCACCCAGAAGATTTGTAGGGGAAGAGCTCAACTGATCAAAGAAAAAAAAACACACACAGCTGGAACGACCATGCAGAGAGAAACACGGAGACAAAGACTGGCTACCTTAAACAAAAGGAAATTAAAGAATTGGGAACGTGCCCGGCGATGGTGGCGCACGCCTTTAATCCCAGTACTCGGGAGGCAGAGGCAGGCGGATTTCTGTGAGTTCGAGACCAGCCTGGTCTACAGAGCTAGTTCCAGGACAGGCTCCAAAGCCACAAAGAAACCCTGTCTCGAAAAACAACAACAACAACAACAACAACAACAACAACAAAAAAGAATTGGGAAGAAGAGAAGACATGGTCTAGAGAGTCTGCTCAGTAGTTACGAGCACATGCTGCCCTGATCACAACCATCTAAAGCTCCAGCTCGAACGCATCTAAGGCCCTCTTCTGGCCTTCAAGGACACCAGGCACACAAGTGGTGCACAGACATAAAAAAGGCAAAATATCCATACACACAAAATTTTTAAAAATAAAAGAATATATATGAGAACATAGTTTCTTTTTTTTTTTTCCTTTTTCCAGACAGGGTTTCTCTGTATAACAGTCCTGGCTGTCTAGAATTTGCTTTGTAGACCAGGCTGGCCTCAAACTCACAGAGATACGCCTGCTCTGCCTTTCAAGTGCTGGAATTAAAGGCGTGCACTACCACCACCACCCAGTAACATGGTCCTTTTTTTTTTTAATATTTATTTATTTATTATGTATACAATATTCTGTGTGTGTGTGTCTGCAGGCCAGAAGAGGGCACTAAATCTCATTACAGATGGTTGTGAGCCACCATGTGGTTGCTGGGAATTGAACTCATGACCTTTGGAAGAGCAGGCAACGCTCTTAACCACTGAGCCATCTCTCCAGCCCAACATGGTCCTTTTAAGAAAATAAACATTCACATTATTTGTGTTCCAGAAGAAAAGAGAATGGTTATAAAAACATAGACAGGCATGTCCAATAGAACCTAAAAGATTTGGACCAACAAATCACTTACATCCAAACTAGAAGAACTCCAAGACAAAGAGAATCCCAAAAACACAAGGAAGGAAGCCTACAGTTCCTTATAAATGAGCACCTATTACAGGAACAGCCAAGTTTCCAATACTAGCTATTACAATGACTTCGAATCCAGACAAAGACACAAGATCCAAATGACAGATCTGATATTTCCAACAAATAAAGATGAGGAACATAACTACTACAAAAACGACCAAGGGAACCTCATGCCAGAGACAACAGTACTTCCATATAGAAATGAACGAGCACAAAACACTCTGTACACAGTTAAGAATAAAACAAAACAAAACAAAACCCATGCATACTTAGTATGGATCAAAAATGCACTGCAGAGACCAGGTGGGCAGGTGCTGGTCAGTGGTCTGCTATGCAATCAGCAGGGAAAGTGAAAGGGGAAGGAAAGGAGCTCGCTGGACACACTTTGCAGGGGTACTTAGGTGTCATCCCCTACCTTTCCTCTTACTGAGACTGAGCTGAGAAGCCTTGCTCTGCAATGTGTTCCCTGCTACAAGACTCTCTCAACAAAGGATCCACGTAAACCTAGAGCGAAAACACATCTTCCCTCCCCCATGGCATCAGAGGGCTAGGGAGCTTCTCACTCAACAGAGGCTTCAGAACTTACATTCAGAAAAGAAGTATGTTCTCATGAATCAATTATTCTGCAAAACCTGGATATTTACATGCTATAGAAAAGGACCACTGTCTTGAGAACAAACAAACAAACAAAGACTAGACTCTTTTCATACCATATAGAGAAATCAATTACCAATGGATCATAGAATTACATGGAAGGTCTGGAACAATGATGCGGATGGAGTCTTTTAATATATGCCAATCCAGTCGACAGAAGCAAAGCCAACAAATGAGATTATATTAGACTAAATGTTATGTCTAAAATGAGAAAATACTATAAAATTATTTATTCAGCAAGTGATTAATTTCTAGACCATATAAAGGATCTCATTCACTAAACACAGAAAAGTAAAAGATCTCATTAAATCTGGACAAACAGTCTAAATTGATACTTCCCAAACATGATATACAAATACGTTTACAAGTAAAATTGAAAGAAATTTTCCCAAAATGCCTTACCACTGAATTATAGATTTAAAATAACATCAGTCACAGTGGCAGGCAAGCAGGCTGTTCTGTTATCTGTACTATGGCTGTTATTCTGGGCTTGAAAAGACTGGCACCATCTTAAAACACAGGATAATCTTGGCACAAAGCCATGGTAATCAAGTGAACAAAGATATGTAGCGTTATGGAGGGGACCAGGATTGGTAGCATCCCCTTACGAGACTATCATGTATTTCTCTGCTGAGATTCCAGCCTGGGCACACTTTTGCCCACCTGTAGGTTGGTAAAACTGTAAGTAAAAACTAACTAAGGTTGGAGGCTTTTTCTGCTTCTGTTTTTTTTTTTTGTATATCTGAGTCACATTTACTCACTAAATAAACCCAATAAACTCATATATTCACCAAGCACTGATGAAATCTTTCTTTGCGTAATAAAACTCCATTCGTATTTGGAGCAAACACATTTTTCCTAAGTCTCTCCAGGAAAGTTACAGTGCGTAGATGAAATGAGTGAGGCACAAAATGAAAAGTCCTCTGTGTTCTCATCAAACTTGCAAACTAAAGGTGGCCTCAAACAGACAGAAAAACAATAGGAACTATAGAGCAAGGGCAAGACACGGGGCATGGGGGAGGGGAAGAAGGTAAGCACTAGCAGGATATAGCAGGAAGGGGGAGGCCTAGCGTAAGTTCTACAATACTATTACTATTATACACATATATACGGCACCAACTAAATATTCTAAGATGACATCAGAGAGATGTAAATACAACAATACAAACAAGCGAATCCAGGGCTGGTACACTATCAGTTATCACCAATCAGATCATCATACATGATGTGCGGTACAGAGCTACCCTGTTCCTTATCCATGCGTATCGCTGCCACGCCAATTAAAATGTACAATATCAGATTAGCATTAAAAGTAAGCAACAATTCTACAACTGGTACCTCTGGGAATTACGGGAGTCTGACTCACCCAAGGACACCAGGCTGCTGTAGGTCTCCAGCATCACGTCCCTGTAGAGGGTCCTCTGGGCAGCATCCAGGTCCTGCCACTCCTCCCGGGTGAAGTCCACGGCTACGTCCTCAAATGATACCAACATCTAGAATGACAAATTTGTCTTCAATTCAAGTTGTGCTCAGCCTTAGGAACAGAAAATGGGAACTGATTATTTTATGTGTATATATGTCTTATCATTGTCTTATAAAAATGTAGCCTGTTTTGAATTCTGTATTATGATAGGAGAAAAAAATCAACACAAAAGTCTTATCTATGTGTTGATCTTGTGATTCAAAAAAATATGACCAGAAACTTTTCTAAGGAATTACAACAGAAACACAGATTCATAGAGGAATACATGTATATGCATGGTCTGTATTATTATGAGCAAAAGACAGACTTAGATACTGTAACCATTAAATCTGTAAAGGATGAACAAAACAATGCAAAGGAAGATGGGGCTGGGAGCACACCGCTGTGGTATAGTGCATGCGGAAGGCAGGACCGTGAGTTCAATTCCGAGAGCCTGGAGCAACTGTGGAATCCACATGGAATCACGTACACTGGTGTAGATATTGGGGAAAATTTGTCAGTACTTAAGGTTTCCTAAATATGTGTTAACCAAAAATTAATTCTGAATTAAGTGTGCATGGAGCCAAGGGATGTGTGGCAGCGCTCCTCCCACCCTGCACCACGTGATCTGGCGTAGCTGTTGTATGAGCACTCATCAGCTCCCTGCAGTGATTCCACCACACACCTCCAGGGGAAACGACCAGAAAAGCTCTGGCTCACAGGTATGTTTTAAACTATGCTGCTTTTATTGTAAATACATTTTCCACTCCCACAGAGACATGACGGCTTAATTATAGAAAGATTTAACATTTTCCATACCCTTCATCTAAGCATCAGACTAGTATATATCTGAATTGCATTGTTAGAAACACAAGCCTTTCACGGCTTAGTATGCACCTTGCCTTCATCTTTAATTAAAATTGTATGTATACCAAAGAATCGTTTTAAAATAACTTCTTTATGGTTTCTCATCAGTAAACCTTTGAGCCATTTGTATACCTATATATCTAGGGTCACATAAAATATCTCAGATGAAAAGTGGTTATGCATACAAAGTGTTTTAAAGGTCCTAAATAGTAGAAACTTGATTTTTCCTCTATACATGGACACAAACAATAAATATCTATACATATCTGAGGCCCTTCTGAAAGGGACATGATTGACAGACTTCTAAATTCTATATAGTTTAGACAACAACCATATAAATGAGTTTGGAATGTCAGGGCACACACAAGCATGAGTTCTACATTGGGCAATTCCAGACCACTAACATCCCTCTGAAGGGAGAAAGACAGTTACCTAAACTCTGCTATTTCATCCACCCAAGCCCATCTAGAGCACAGATAAAACATGGGAATTTTACACACAATGTATGTTTCCACTGGCTTCATCCTAAGGGACCAGGGCAGAAGAGAAAGGGCAAACTCACAGAATTTCCTCCTGGAAGGTAACTTCAAACAAGGTTTGCTTGCTGCTGTTGCCAATAATCAAGCTTCTATCGTACTTGCCCGCAGAAATGAACAGGGCAGAATGAACAGAAAGCTCTAGTAACCTGGCAGATCTTAGACCTTCCTGAGCCCAGGCCTTACTTACAGAAATCTAGTCTGCTCTGACTACCTCAGCTTTAACAAAGCCACGTTGAGGGAATACAGGCGAAACTCCCCAGCTCTGGAGGAAAGGGACCCCGGCACGTGCCAATCTCCCTGCAGCTCAGAGAGACTAATGGATTCCTAATGATTCCATTCCCTAGCGGTGTTATAGAAAAGGAGACAACACAGATGGCGGAGATCTCTTTGGTGACTCCTGTGTGGACCTTGGACATGAATGCTGCAGATGACATGGTGGTGTCGCAGCGCCAAAGCACTGGACGCGCACACAAGGTCTGAGGGGACAGTCAATTAGCAGGCAGTCTGGCAAGGGTTGAGTCTGCAGGAGGAGGAAGTCCAAAGATTGTTTACATGGAATCAAGCCAATCTTCTCAGCTTTGCTCTTATGGAAAATGCCCACAAGCAATTTTAGCTTCAGTGCTGAGAAAAAGACAAAATACCGACTGTGTAAAACTGCACCAGGAAAAACAGGTACTTAATAGAAATGTGGGAAGAGGGACTTAATGCATAGGAATGTTTGCAGGGAGGAGAATCTTAGGACTTCATCTCCAGACACAGGAAGTGCTAGACCTGATGGTCAGCACTCTGGATTTGATAGCTTGCTCCCTACACATATGGAAAGCCCAGGGGAAGGAGGTGAGCCGTAGGGGAGAGGTGCGGCTACCCAAAAAACAAAGGATTACCAGACATGGGAAGAAGAAGGCCCTCGCTCTGCATTCTGTCAGGAAGCCAGAAACTTACAGACACCCAACACAATTTCCAAAAGAGATATCCTAATTATGCTTCAATCAATAATATATACGTCTTTATATGCCAAGGAGTGGTGTAACTGGGTCATACGGGAGATCTGATTTTAGCTTTTGGAGAATTCACCACCCTGGTTACGCCAGTTTGCATCCTACTCATGTGAATTAGGGTCCCATTCTCTGCATCCCAGCCAGCATTTGCTGTCCGTTGTTCGCTTGGTCTGGAATGAGATAAAATCTAATACTAGTATTAAATAGCATGCCCCTAAGTGTTAAGGATGGTGAACGGTTTTTGAGATATTCCTACATGTTTCTAGCTCTCTTTTCGAAAACTCTCCTCAGATGCATTTTTCTCTTTGATTTTGAGAGTTTTGTATAGTATGGATACAAATCATTGTCAATCATTGGCCTTGGCTCCTGGGAAACATTGAAAAGCTCACTTCCCACAACTACACCCTACAGGGCACTACCTCACTTTCTTCCAACAGTTTCAGAGCTCCAGGCTCCTCATGGACCCCTCTGATCTATTGAGAGTTGATTTCCGTGCAGGGTGGTAGATAAGGGGTTATTTTATTCTTCGTTATATAGACATCCAGTTTTCCCAGCATCATTTATCAAAGATGCTGTCTTTTCTCCAATGCATCTTTGGGGCATCTTTGACAAACTGAGATGCCTATAACGAGATGCACTCATGTCTGGATCTTCTACTTTGTTCTGCTGACATGCAAGTTTGTTTTGTGACAGTGCCATGTTGTTTTCATTACCATCGCTCTGTAACATAGTCTGAAATCAGGTGTAACCGTCCTTCCAGCACTGTTCCTTTGCTTTGGATTGCTTTGCCCAGCTAGGACTTTTGTGGTTCTGTGTGAATTTCAGAATTATCTATTTATTTTCGTGGGCATGTATGTGTGTGTACATGTAGAATACTATAGGAATTTTGACGGAGATTTGCTGAACCTATAAATGGCTTTTGGTAGAACAGTCTGTTGTAATAAATATGCTGGTCTGCCCTGTCACCTGTCCCTTTAAGAGACAAGCCCCACCCATTCCCAATCTCCCCCTTCCTGCCAAGCAGATCTACTGATCTACTGCCTCCTCTCCATCTCTCTCTCCTTCCCTCTCTCTCCTTCGTCCCTCTCTGAAGAGGTAGTCTCTGCCTCTCCCTCCCCTTTCTTCCTTTCTTTTCTTTCTCTGTCTCTCTGTCTCTGTCTCTCTCTCCCCTTTATAACTCCTTACCCTTATACCTTATACCCTTCCCAATCCCACTAAATAAACTCTATACTTAGGCTTCTCTCTGCCTGCCAGGGGACCTGCCAGGGTCACCTGCGTCATGAATGATAACACAGTCATTTTCACAATTTCAATTCTACCAATCCAGGTTTTTCCATTTTCTAGTGAGTTCTTCAATGTCTTTCTTCAGAGATTTTGTTAAAGATTTCATTATAGACATCTTCTACTTCCTTGGTTAGGGTTATTCCTAGATATTTTATATCTTTTGAGGCTATTGTAAATGGGAGTGCTTCCATTATCTCCTTCTTGGACTCTCTGTGGTTGGTATATAGAGTCTACTGTGTTTTTTAAGCATAATTTCTTTATTGATTCTTTGGGAATCTCATATTATGTACCCTAATTCCAGTCACTTTCCAGTCCCCCCATATCCTTCCCTCACCCATGCAGTGCCCTCCCAAAAGAAAATTTAAAATAAAACAAAACAAACAAACAAACAAACAAACAAAAATACAAGAACAAAGCAAAACAAAAACCTGCTCAGTTCTCTAGCATTTCCACCCTCCAACGGCTCTTCATACATCCCAGTGGCACTGGCAGAGGTGCACCACACAGTCTGCCCTTTGTCCAGTCAGCTTTACTAGCAAAAGCTCATTGCAACGAGTCACTGGTCTGGTTCAAGGACCCTGTTGGACCAGGTTAGGGTGTGACCTTTTGGGTACCTGGAGAAAAGCTGCCTGCCTGCCCAGGGCTCTTTCTCTCTGTGTTTCCCCGCACTATACAACTGAGGTTGGACTTCTAGTTCCTGTTTCATAAGTTTGCCCCTTATAATAAAGTAAATATAATTGGTTTATCTTGGAGTTAGCCTGGATTTCTTCAACCCGTGCCATTCAACAGTTGGTGCCCAAGGTGGGGCTTGGGGGATTTGGGACTCCTGCCGCCAGGCTCCGCATGGTGCATCTGGGTATTTGGGCACTGACTCTTCTCACCCGTGGCTTCAGCCAGCCACTGCCAGGCCCCGTGTAGCACCCCGCGCTGCGCTCTGCAGCAGCAGTCTCTGGCCTGGGTGCCCTCTTGGAGCCCTTCTGGGTCCAGCTTCCCTGGCACCCTGCGGAAGTGCAGGTGAGGCGTGGGCTTCCCCGGGTGTTGCTCCTTTGCTGTTCCTGCTGCTGCCGTCCAGTCAGGGGTTTCCGCGGGGCACAAAGTCTGTTACTTGCACTGAATAACCGCTTTTAATTTAAGCATATCTTTCAGTATCTAACACGCTAAAAGCAATTCGAACTGTTCAAGCCAGCCACAGAACTACAGCTGCGACACCTACTGTCCGGTAACGGTTATTGCACCTACTCCAACTCATTACAGGTGAGATTTGTAAGGTCAAATTTGTAATTTATAAGGTCAAGATGACAGATAATTTAATGATGCAAGAGGTCAACAGCTTTTTTACTTAT